TATATTACTTTTTTTAACATACTTAGTTAACCCTGTAAATGGTTTTTAACTGTTGGGTATTAAAGGCTATTATTATTGTTATATTTTGAATAATTAATGTTTAAGTAGGTAATATAGTTTTCAATGTTTTGATTGGTTTCCGGGTTTTGTCGCGGTCACAATCTCCAAACGATTCAACTGCAACTAACGGCATTCATCTTCATTGGCGTGGTCGAATTACTCTTCTTGACGTATCAACTGAAACTCCCACTGAAGATGACTGCCGCAGTTGCAGTTGAAACGTTTGGAGATTCCAATATAGTTTTCAATTTTAAGACAAATAATTATTATTACGAGTATATATTATAATACTGAGGTTTTGCAAACTGTTTATGCAAAAGTCCCACATTTACAGATTAATACATCTGTCATGGACTTTCGTTAGATATCAGCCGAATTAACCGAAAAATCAACGTTTTTTTTTTTCAGTTAAGCTTCTGGGGTTGCTGAATTGGGCTTCCCACAAAGAGACATTGATCGATTCTTTGACAGGTCTACGCTGGGTTGATGGAGAAGAAGTCGTAAAATTTTTACAAGATATTTTGGACGCTTTATTTAATATTTTAATGGATAACCCAAAGACTGACACCTATGATACTCTAGTTTTCGAATGTTTACTAGAAATTATTGGTCTAGTTAGTAACGATTGGAAGTATCAGCATTTCGAACCTGTCCTAGATTTGTATATCAAGGAGAGTTTCAGTGCTACATTAGCTTACAGGTAAAATTTGTAACGTTCAGTAAAGGGCGGATCGGTTGACAGTGTTTTGTTTCAGGAAACTGATATCAGTATTAAAAACGGTTGTTAGCAATGCCACGGATTCAAGGTCGAGTTCAAAAGATCTGATTTTCAAGACTATGAAATGTTTTCAGTATTTCATGAGGTTCGTAGCTAGAAGTCGAATTTTGTACATGGAACTCTACCCCGAAAATGATCCGGAAGACGACTTCAACGCGAACATTAGAAGTCTTTTGAAAGATATCAATTCTATGATGTCCTCCGATATCGAGGGACTGATCAGGGAGCAAGGAGCCTGTTTGAAGTATTTCCCAAGTTGTATTCCTGATATTTTGTTAGTTTTTAATCACGTTGAACTGAGGTGAGTGGTTTCATTTTTTGGGTAATTACACCATATAAGGTTTGTAAAAAAATGTAATTATGCAAAGATTGCCTGTTTTCACAATGAATCAAGACATTGAGAAACATGAAATATTGAAACAACAAATTAAAAGTTGCTACCAACATATTGCAAATTCAGTAATTATGGTCAAATCACAGTTCAAATAACACTCGCGAATAGCATAGAAATTAAAAAAGTACACCTTAACAAACGTCTCACGAAGACTTTGTTAATGAAATTATATGTAATACTATTAGGTTGTTTTCCAAGTTATGTCTGTTTTTATGAGTTGCTTCAAACTGTAATCTCCTAGTGAAAACTTATATTCAATTCAATATAAATAAGCTCCATTTGGATCAGTGGAATTTGCCAAACTAACACAAGTCAGTTATTTCCGCCAGCATAAAAATTGTGTCTTCGTTATTTGATGAAGTCGACGAAGGCCGTTTTTGCCTGGTCTTTCCAGAACTTTCCCGCTCGATTCATTTAATTTTCGGACGGTCATCTGTGAAACGTGCGGAAGGTCGTTGTGGAGCAGGATCAGACCTAATTTTCGGTACTTTTCATCGATTTCCTCACAATAGCACTCTGCTGTGCTGGTTTGGCACGGTTGCAGAAAGTTGTAATGAATTACACCAGCTGCTGACCACCATACAATAACCATGGTCTTTTTTGGTGGAATTTTGTTTTTGGGAAGTGCCTGGGTGGCTAACCTGTATCTATGCCCTGTTCTGAACGTCTCCAGTTGTCTTATAGGATCCACTTTCCATCGAACGTGACAATTCGATCCAAAAGAAAAGGGTCGTTTCGGTTGCGCAAAAGCAAAGAAGAACATACTTCGAAACGTGATGAGTTCAATTTTTGATCACCTTACTTATGACGGGGAATAGGGACTCAACAATTCAGATTTACAAAAAGTCGGCTGAACTGGGTCTGAACACCTACGTTGATTTTTTGTCTGATGCTCTGTCTAAGAGTTTGCAAGTTGACTCTAAGTATACTGATTTCTCCAAAGCTTTTGACGAAGTTAATCATGATTATTGAACCATTAACTCTGTTAATATGGTGTTGACGGGCAAATATTGAAGTAGCTCAAGAGCTATCTTACGGAAAGAACGCAAATTGTTNTCTTTAAATCACTGTCAACTAACCAACCTGGCGATTTCTATGCTGCCGCTGAACAAAAGGTGACTAATGGTTGTTTGTGAAAACATGAATAGCAACCCACATATCAAAGATGTATTGAAAAATGATAGTTTGAAATTATTACTGATTGATTATTATTTTTGTGGTAATATCAGCTATGCTAGCTCAAAGATACCGATAGGTATGAGATAATTTCGATACTATTCTCAAAGAAAGATTTTTTATTTAATGGTGGCCATTCAATTATTTATTATAACATTATTTGATGTAAAATGTGTGTAATGCTGTTAGGAAGTCTTTCATTTTTACAAACTTTTTTGCAGCAATGTTTTATTTGACATGATCACCAAAATGCCATTGGGCCGACTGACAAAACAGAAGATGATGACAATAAATGAGATAATTCATAGCAAAATATTTTTGTATCCTGAATGTAGAGTGATATTACTCCCGCTCATAACTGAACAAGTAAAAACGTTATTTTTAACCAAGGAGGAGGTAAGTATTTATTAGATAATTATTTGCTTATATGCTTTCAACTGTACCTTTCCATATTTTTGCGAAACATTTCATTTCAGTGTACATAATAATTATAGCCCCATTAACATTGTATTGCTTTTTCGTTGCACAAAATCGCACAGTCTGCAGTCGTCCTGTACATATCACATGTCATTCACGAGCATTTTGTGAAATGTACATATACTTCATGATTGTTCTGCATTATGTTTGTAAATTTTCTGTTTTCAAATCTTATAAAGATCATTGTGATTCGTCGTAAGTCAGTGTATTGTTACTAACTTCATTAACTCCATTTGTACTCGTTTTGGTATTGTGATTACTTTTCAGAAAAGTTTGTGTTATAAGATTTCATTCCCAGTGATCAGGTAATTTTTTGTTTCACTCAATTCTAGTACAATGTGTTTCATTTCGAGAACAAATTTTCGTAACATTTGAATTTAGTAGACAGATAATATTATAAAGCCACACTAAATTAATTCAATTAATCACATTAATTTCAGACCTGCTAAATATTTAGGCTCGAGCAATTTTCATGTCAATCTTGGTTTGTGTTTGAGGTGTTTTGCAAATGTATCGGACAATTTCCTTCAATTTGAAAATTTATGGTTTTGGCAAGAAATAATTTAATAAGTATTGTCAAAAATATATACTCTGTGCAAACTCATGAGTCACATTCCAAGCTTCGATCAAAAACGTAAATTAGACAGATAGATAGATATATTTATTTGATCATGTTATGTATAAAATACATTTATGACAAGTCAGAAAAACAAATAGGTGCAAGGTACAAAGTTTTCTATAAAATGAAATGAACAGTAAAAATTTGTAACAAGTTTACAGGGTACATTACAACATAATCAAATTAAGTGTGGAGGTTCGGCAAGCATCTTTCTTGCTTCAAAAGTGTGTCTACGCACATATTCTAAATATTCTGAAGTGGAATAAAAACAGTTTTTTTAAAATATTTTTTTATAACTTTTTTAAAACAAAACATATTCATATTTTTAATATTGGCAGGAAATGCATTATACAATTTAAAATCATAGGAGCTTTTTTGTGATTTTATCAGTCTGAAACGTTGAGGTCTAATAAAATGACTGTTACGTCTATCGTGATTATGTAAACTGGATTGCTTGGGAAACAAGGGGGCCGTTTTGGGAATATCTAATAGGCTTAAGTAAACATACAAGGAACACCGACATAATTTCATGAGTGATGAATGATTGACGGCAAGAATCCCTAAAACCGATTATGCATTGGGCATCACTAGAATTTCCCCAAAGTAGAATACCGTAAGAAATGTGAGACTGTATGAGCGAGCAAAATACTATTTTCAACGTAGTGAAATTTGTTATTGGTTTCAGCTGTCTAAGTAAAAATAAGGCACTCGATAGCTTACTTTTCAAACTTGAAATGTGGCTTGACCAATTTAGCCTGGAATTCAGGTAATGGCAAAGCCATAGAAACAATCATGTTTTGTGATTTTTCCTTATTCATCATGAGTTTGTTGACACTGAACCAGTGCTCCGCTTTTTCTTGTATTTCCATAGACTTATCAACAAGAGCTATATAATTCATAGAAGAATATATCAAGGATGTATCATCAGCAAATAGTACACTGTGACATAGCTTCATATAGTTGTAAAAATCATTGATGTAAATAACGAACAAAGGCGGGCCCAAAACCGATCCCTGCGGTACACCTAGGTCAGAAAATGTATTGTTATAAAAAACTCTCTGGAAACGATTATTCAGGTATCAATTCAACAAAAAAATAAAGTCTAGAAATGAACAAGAAATATTCATTTATGTGCCTATTAACTTTGTGAATTTTACCACTGCCATAGAACATAACTTTTCTTCTTCTCTATAGAATTGTTCTTCAGAATAGCACTGGGTGCTATCAACTTCAAGGTAATTTTTGAAGTTGTTCTTTTTCTAAGCTTTAGCAAACCTGGATTGTCACAAAATAGCATCCACTGATGAGATTTCTGAAAAGAAATCCTACATAGAGGTAAACAAATTCAGTTCATTTTTACAAATATTCAACTCTTGGACATTATAAGAAAGGGCTATTAATCAGTGTGATATTCTGCCCTAATTTTACAAATGAATAATCAATATTTTAAAATAGTGAATGACAAATTAATATTTTTAAATCAAACTTGCAAATGAACTTGCTTTTCTGATTGATTCGGCAGTTGGTCATTAATCTACTCATGAATTGGAGAAAATTGCAAAATACTTCAAACTATTTAAAACCGCTAAGTGAATAATTGACATAAACACTAGTTCCAATTGTTTATTAGTGTACGCGATGTGTTTCATTTGTCATTTAAAATGCAACATGAAAATTTCGAAACAGGTCAAAGTGTACTTTATAATATATTAAAAAGTTGTCCTAAAATATTTCTGAAAATTGCAATGAACACACTTGCAGACCGATTTCGGGCTGTTTGGCCACTCGACAATGCAAGATGGTGTCTATCATCAACATAATATCAATGATTTTTGATAAATGAAAATCGAATTCCTTCAGAGTATCATTTCTCGAAGTAGGCTGAAGCTGACAACAAACAACAACAAACAACAGGTTTGTCATCGCCCCATCTGCCTGTGAACGAGGTAACCAACTGCATATCCGAAATTTGCCACTGACTATGTGAAAAGTTTTCTTTCCTTATACGAGGAATTTGGAACTTTTATTTCTGTAAAATTTATGGAACTCAGTGATTCATAACAAATAACTACTGAATATATGAATATATACTCAGTTTCTTTAAAAACTTCTAAAAAAAATTTCTTTTCACCTGTCATGTGCTTCCATATTTATTGAATCTTGAAAATTATTGTGTTTGGGTATATATGTAATTTGTTTATTTCAAGTACTTTATTTTGCAATTATTGTTTAAACTATGCTCATACAAGATTCACAAATAATAGTTGTGATGTTTGATGTGCTTTTCCAAATGGATTTAATCTCCAATGATTCAAATCCAATGTGAATCGCTACTTTGGCATAGGCTCCGCTCTGAGACTGCCTTAAAGATTTTTCTGTAGTGCTTGTCTTTGTTCTATCTATAATCTATTTCGAAATTTTCATGTTCCCATATAGTTAATGACATATTTATGAAGAATTTGACTTATCTAATAGTGCAATATAAAGGAACACAGACATTTAAGTTTATTTCGTAGTGAGCCAAGGGAATTGTAAATTCACAAACTGACCATAAAGAATGGAATATTTAGGACTATTGATTTTTAACAAACATTCCATCATTCGTTACTAAATTGCTTCTTCTCTATACTTCTATTTGTGGGATACTAAATCACTTACCGCTGACCTGTAATAACTTTGTAGGTGTGAATTGGAATGAAATTTGTTTAGGTAGACGACGCTTTGAAAACAGAAAATTACACAAGATTTTTTTCTCTATCTCACCACCAGAGACACCTTGGCCACCGAATGTTTCGGCAGACTAAATATTTAGGTACTTCCTATTATACATACCATCTTTTTCCTCAATTATTTGAAATCCTATCGAAAAACCAGATCCGGTTCACTTTCAAGTGAGTATTTATTTTGGTAGTAGGATTTCAAAGCGTTCTTTGGTCACTAAGCATGGAAGAATGTTTTTTGCACGAAACCGCTGAAATTGAAACTTGGACTGAACTGACTAAATATATATAACCTGTATCGAGCGACTCAAAAATATGATAACCTCTTTGTAGTTTTAACATAGTCAAAATGATGATTTTTATTTAGAAAATTGAACCGTCTTAACAAATGGATGTGAGTTCATTGGTAGTTCTGAGAAATCATAGAATACATTGGACAAAATGAATCATTCGAGACAGATATTTGATGAAAAATCCATATCAAAATTTATTTTGATTTTTTCACTGTGAAAGGTTAACAAAACCTAGACATGTATTAGTAAGTTTTTATAGTCGGTCTAAAACATCAAATTATAATTCATAATTTTTTACATTAGACATAACTATTGGCAAGTGTTTGGATGAGAGAATCCTTTGAATAATGAAATTTTTACGTGTATATCATATCATATTTTTGAGTCAGAACATACCTATTTTTCTTTCTCACAAGAATTCTTTGGTTTTCTTATACTCTTATTGAACTAATGAATCAATTTAAAAGTTTATTTAAATCACTTCAAAGTAAAGTCTATATAAATGTCGAAAATTTATATGATTCATTGGATATGGCTTGAAGTATACAGAGTAGGCGAATGAGGTTATACTTCTCATAGTTGACGTTTAGAAAAGAAACCACCCACAACCGTCGAATTTTACTTTATTTTTAATTGCAATCTTCGCGGTGGGGTGAGATCGAACACTCAAATCTTAAATGGGATTAGAAGTCAAGTTAAACCTTGTTCAAAAGATTATTTCTAAATTTGGAGCAGTAGATATTGAGAAAAAAATGTTTCAAGATAATGGGTTGTTCATATTTTTAGTGCCTCGAAAAAAATTATACTTTCCACGGTTGTGCCTGAGCCATGGCGCTGACGGTAGTTATGTATGGCGGTTTGAAGTATCCAGGGTTATGATTCATTATTTGTTTATTTATTTACGGGCAAGCCCATTCAAAGTATAAGTTACAATGTTGAATTATTGTTGTAAATTATGCCCTAAAGAAAATAAAGCCGGCCGCCACTGGTAGCCATAAATCAATTGTGACGCAGCTAAGAGCGCGCGAATATACGAATATACGCTGCCGCTCTAGATGTATCGAGAATAATGCTACCGACCTCGGTGGAATTCCGGCGAATTTTCTACCGCTTTCGATTACGATATATAAATATGATATATAAACGCTATCAACGAAAATCGATCTAGTAAGGCGATAGACATTCGAATAATAGTGAAAGTGAAATAAAGTTAAGTTTGATTATTGTTCAGTGGAGTCAATTATTGGTAAACCCACGGGGAAAAACGTAACATTATAATTAAAATAAAATAAGGTACTGAAATATAAATTGCATCTAAGAATAGCTTGATGCCGCAAAAAAAGGGGGGGTTAATTTAGAGTATAAAACGACAAAAGACAATAAACATCAATAAAATAAATACCACATATACTTCCTTAAACTATACATTAAAGCACAGGATTCCGTAATTGAGTTTTAAAATGATTCAAGGAGATGTTGAACATCTCAAGATCAATGTTACTATTGGCTAACCGTAAGATTCTTGGAATGCAGCTATTGAATATGTGGTTTAAATGATAAAATGGTACATAAAATGTTTGTTGCTGTCGAGTTGGGCGGTTTTTTCTAGGAGTTCAGTACAATACATTTGCCGTTGATAATATTGAAAAGTAGTGTCGAGTCTCTGTCCTGTTTCCTCCTAGCAACTCGTACTCGCAACGAACACCCGATTTATATGCTATGTATCTGAGGAAGTTGTGTTGGACATTTTCGATGTTCTTGATGTAAGTTACACAATGAGGAGACCAGAAGAGAACAATACTCTAGATGTGGACGGACCAGTGAACAATAAAGGGCCTCACTAGTAGAATGGTTAGTGAATTCGTGGGTTAGCCGTTTGATAAACCCTAGCATTTTCATGGCTTCCACTTGACTGTCCCGATGGGCGAGTGGATGGCGCTTATATTTGGCAATCGAAGGTACTGGAAAATTACTCGGAATTCCATCGAAGTCTGTAGAATAGCCGCGAAATGTCGGTCGAACTGAACGCGCTTCGCTACGTCACAATTGGTTTATGGCTACCAGTGGCGGCCGGCGTTATTTTCTTTAGGGTATGATTCACAACAATATTTATTGAGATACGGTGCTACAAAAACACATGACATTAAAATTGACAAGACTTTTTTGGTGCTAAGGGATTGAAACTTAGAACCTAGTATAAGGTTTGACTTGTTTTGGGAGTACTGTATCGCACAGAGTTTAACGATCATGCCAAGGACAGAAATTTATGTTAAAATTCAATCAGGCATAGTGATTTATGTCTGGAGAATAATTAAAAGATAATTTTTCATCACAGAATTGTATAAACTGAAATATCAATATGTAATATACACCAGTTGATATAACATTGCCACTTATAGGTACTCATAACTATTTTTTCTAAAACTGACTGAAGTCCGCGATAATTGAATATTCAGAGATTTTTCTGCTTGTTGACTTTAATTTCGAACCTTCATCTGTCATGGTTCGGCTTGGCAGCACTGTAATTTTTTGCATCTGCGAGTCATGATAGTACGTTAATAGGGATGGTTTTGTTTATACATTTCTCGGGCTACACAAGCAAGAGACTCGTGATGAGATAACATGAGTCAAAATTTTGTTCATCATATTCAATTTCTGAATTTGTATTTATCAAACACTGATGAGTCAACTTCGCATTCAAGAGCTCATGAATATTAGAATTGTCAATTTGATTTCTCTTTTTCCTGTTTCGAGGGCATGAAAAAGATTTCAAACATTGATTCATTAAGATATAATTCTGAACTCGTTTCATCGCCACTGGAACATGGCAAAGGGCACATCATACATCACATTTTCAAAACTGAATTTGGAAATAACTGTTCGTATACCATCAGAACGTTATGCCATGATTTCCGACAAAAATGGTACCTAAAACACCCACTGTAGTCAGTTGGTACTTCATTGTATGGCATATTCTAGTACTTATATTTCTGTTGTTTGAATGGAGACCTTGTCAAAGTTGTTAACCAGTAGCAAGGCATTGTGCAGTGGTTGCATATAAGGTATGTTCAAAGAATAAGGTGAATTTTCATTTTTCTCATTGTCTCCTCAGAAGTAGTCCCCCTCAGATATAATACGCTTTTGCTAGGTTTTTTCCAGTTCTGATATGCACTTTATGGTATATCCTTAAGCTCTGTCGGTGATTCCGTTTTCATCTCTTTGATCCTCGCAAAACACCTTCCTTTCATGGGTTTCTTCAATCTTATGAACCGAAAAAAGTCACAGGGGGGCAAATCTGGTGAATACGGTGGCTGAGGCATGATTACGGCAATAACGAGTTAGCATTATTGTGATGCAAAAGCCATGAATTGTTTTTCCACAAAACTGGACGTTTTCTTCGTATTGCTTCTCGTAAGTGACGCCTACCTTATTGACCGTACGACCAAGTGTCAAGAACTGCTGATGCTTGTTTGAAAGTGATTGACAATGTTTCATGATGAATTTCATTAGTTCAGACTTCCATCGTCTGATATTATATAAAATGATTTGAAATTCCTGGAAGAACTCAGAAGGAGAATTTAAAAGAATAGCTGAAAATAACAATTATATTGAGCAAAAAAACCTGAAATGAAATAACAGTGAAATAAAATACAAGTGAAAATAGAACAACTGAACAGAAAATGAAAATTAAGAGATTCTAAGCCAAGTTACTTCACGACGTCTCAATTGTAAGTATCTACAATCATCTTCGGGTGATGACTGGACTAATTCCTTCGACAGTGACTATTTATAAGTCATTCGAGTACTTTCACTTATCTCCTCTTTCCTTTTTCCGCTTCACCGGTTTAGTGGGAGATGACCGTTTGGCGGGAGTTGTCCATTTTTCGCTTGATTATGGGTTTCCATATAATGAAATTCAACTGCTGATGCATTACACCACGGTAATCGAAGAAAACAGTTATCAAAACCTTGAGATTTGATGGAACTTGGCGTGTTTTTTTTTGTTTTGGCTCTCCTGGGTTCTTCCATTGGGACGATTGAACTTTGTTTTCGATGTCATAACCATGTACCCATGATATGTCATCAGTTATGTCTCTTTGAAGCAAATCTGGATCACCGTTGACGGCGATGCTTATGCGACGGTTATTTTGGCAAAATTCAGTAATTTTGGAACGAACTGCCACACGTTTTCCTGTCCATAATTTCCGACAAAATTGCGTGGCATGAGCTAACCGATATACCGACATCCTTAGCAACTTTCTCAACATTTTCATCGGTTGTTGATGTGCTGGGGCGTCCAGTTCCATTTCCTGTGTCACTTGTAAACATTTTTATGTCAACATTTCGAGTGTTTCTGAACACACAATTTCAATTTTTCCACAAAATTGTGAACATTTGGTCGAGACGAGTGTACCAACTTAAAAAATAAAAAATGGCTGGGTACATAGCCCGCGAATTTTGAACTCCATCTTATTTTTTGAACAGACCTCGTATGCAAGAAAACAATAAAAAGTAATTTGAAATCATTGTCTTTCTGATCAAACTGTCTTGTAAAAAAAAACTGAATCAGTAACTGAAACACCAATTGGTAATATTATGATTTTTGTCTCAAAATTGAGGTTGGAACTTTCCAAAAAGTTTTTGTGTAATATCCCCTTATTCCGATTGGGTATTTATTGCCAGAGCGTATTGTTATGCAACAGAAAAAGCATGCTTTTGTGATATCCATGTGAATGTTCTTTATCGAAGGTGGTGGATTTGTAACTCATGTGCTAACCAAGCGTAAACGACCTAGAAGTTAAACAATAGTTTATTACCTTATATTTTATGTTGCAGTAATTTACAGTTTGTAGTTTAATATTTTTTTTTGTAATTTTCATTAACATTATTCTGGTAGTTGTTTTGAGATCTTTGGTAGTTTAGAGGTGCGATGGGTATTATAGGGACTTGTGAGGCAAGATGGAAGGAGACAGAATAATAGATCGGTGGCCAAGGTTGCTCAACTTCTGGGGACGACAGAACGGTTTGTCAATCAACACGTGGGATATCCGGAAGAGGTGAACACAACTAACTATAAAAGTATATTAGTAATACTTGCACGAGGATTCAATTGAGTGAGAACTGGATAGTTAAATGCATCTGAAATATTCTGACATGTTGAAAATGATTCACTTGTTAATCAGTTGGTTAATTATGTTGCGACTCTTGTCGAAACGTTTCATTATGCTGGTCTATAATATTTTCACGATAACTTTGCACCGACATCATGAAATCGCCGACTATTTTGCTAGGCTAGCGAAAGAACTGTGATCAAGTTACTTCTGCGTAGAGCTGCCTCTCAGTTGGTCATTTCTCACTATATAAGGCCATATATGGGGTCAGTGCAACTTATCATGAAAATTTTATAATGAATAAAATGGGAGTAACTAAGATCTATGCGAGCCACTCCACTTAACAATATTGTGCCTATTGCTTTGTTTTCATTACCTAATAAAAATTGATTGAGCATGCATTACTCACATGATACTTTATTCGAGCTTCTTCATGACAATGGAAATTCAAAACGTTGTAAAACAAATAAGATTGGTTAAAAGGCTCTCAAATAATAATAATTCGAAAATATTATTGAGATTATCTGAATTTTCCCTATCACCTCCATTATTTATGACTTTTGGGACATCCTGTGTGTGAAATGAGAACCGCTCTTTTTTCGGACCTACGTCCAGAACAGGCACTGCTCTTAAACACTAGAACTGCAACACTCTTCTTCTTTTTTTTTTCATCACGAAGAAGCCTTCTGAATTCTGCTTATCTGTATCTGTAGAGTAGGGAGGGTGAGTGTAAACCCATATCACTTAGGCCACATGTGGCCCATTGTACTTCCTCCCGAGGAGTTGTCCTCCTAGGTCATCGTCCATCCTGTCCTTTCCAGGAAGGTGGATAGGTCACTGCATAGAGGTGTGTCCACTAGCCTCATATTATGTAGATGTTTCCTTAGTTGACAGTGGCCGGTCAGAAATTCTATTGTTAAGCGTAGATTTTTCCTGGTCATCGCTGGATATTTCTTTGGCGCCAGCTTTCCAGGGTCGCCCAGGGTGATCTTGACAAGACTGCATCCTTTGATTCCATCCCATCTCTTTAGGGATTGAGCATGGGTGTAACGTTTGGCTAGTTCCGCAATTGTCGAAGTCATCAGGCCGTAGGTGTCACTGGGTCCTTAAATTCTTAGTCCAGCCGCTTCCTTGGCTAAAATGTCGGCAATACGATTGTCTTTACTCCTGTCGTGCCCTTTAACCCACCTCAGGATAATGTTATTGTCTACCGAGGCTTTGGCTAAATCTTGGTAGCACTCTAGTACTAGCCCTGAAGTAACACGTCTGTTCAAGGCTAATATGGCTTTTCTACTGTCAGTGCAGATTGTTATGGGTTCAATTTCATCACTGGCTGCCTGCAGCATAGGTTGCAAAGTAAGCGCTTCTCGCCATGGGCTTAGCCTCAATTGACTCATTCCTACTTCGAGGTTTACACCAGCCGAGCGCAATCGTAACATGACCATTAACGCAACCTCCTTAACGTACAGGTCCAGAGGGGTCAGACCCGTGATTAATTTCATTGCCGCGGTTGGTGTTGTTCTCATGGCTCCTGTGATGTTTAAACAAGCCATTCGCTGTATTTGATATAATTTTTGGATGGCCGTTGCTTGTAGAACTTTCGGTCCCCATGCAATGGTTCCGTACGTTACCATAGGTCTTATTATTGCAGTGGAGATCCAGGTGACCACACGGGGTGAAAGACCCCATGTGTGTCCCACTGTCTTCCGACATTGTTCATAAGCCACATATGCTCTTTTTGCTCTACTCTGTAGCTGAGAGTTCCATGTTAAATTCCTGTCGAGGGTAGTACTAAGGTATTTCACCTCTTTAGAGAAGTTTAATTCTGCTCATGTAAGCAGAATTGTGAACAGCAAATTCATCTCTGGAATTCTTTTTTTAGGCTCTTGAAGCCAAGTCTGGGTTCTTCACCTTCTCGAAGTAAACAACTAAAGAGAAGAAATGAATTGTTGCCTGAGTAAATAAGTGATCAATTGAGGGTATTGCCTGCAAGTTTTTTTCCGAATTATAAAGTGGCTTGCATAATTCTGCTCGTGGTCTTATGTCAAAAAAAGATTAATGATCAGATAATACATAATGATATCCGGTTATTCGTTTCAAACAAGTGTGCAATGAATTTATTTATAACCTTGGGCAATGTAATGGAACATTTATATTGCGCTATTCACTAATACAGATCATTCATAAACTTACACATGACAACTTTTCTTGTATATACCCATAAAGACTTGCTTTTTTTTACATTTTTGCGACAGTTACATATTTCTATTAGTCAGTCACATTGATCAACTTCGATTTGTTATATAACCCTCTCAGTTCTACCAGGTTATAGTTGAGTCAATGAATGTAAATATTATTTTTTGACCATTCAATGTATTGTCCCAAAGTACCACATTCCATAAGGTAGTAAACCATGTGACAATATGACTTCATGTGGCAACTCTTGTGCATCTAAAATAAAAAACGTGCTAGGAATCGCACGTTAAAAAATGTAAGACCTCGTTTATCCTTAGCTCGCACAAGTTTCGACTTATGAGGGTTGTCGAACGTAGGGTGCGACAACTAGTTAACGGAAAACAGATCAGATCATAAACTTTTTGAATTGACTAGCAAGGAATTGAAAGTGTTCAAAATAAATTTGCCGAATAGTCATCACTGCAAAGACAGATATTACAAAGATTAACGGCATTTTTCGTTCATTTTTTAATAAATATTTCATGTTGTTTTTTCAGAGACAGGAGTAAAATGTTAGATCTAATGATAATGTAAAAAATATGTTTTGGGAAAGAAAGTTTTTGGCTATCTACTACTCTATCTTGATACAAAAAAGAAGGATGAGGGAGTCTTCCAAAGAAAGGAAGGAAGTAACTCTATACATGGATGTGTAGATCATGCAAAGAAGTAACTTTCAGACACAAACTGAAAGAAAGTCCTCCTGAAACAGCTACTTTCATATAAACATTGAATTATANTTCAGTTTGTGTCTGAAAGTTACTTCTTTGCATGATCTACACATCCATGTATATATAGAGTTACTTCCTTCCTTCCTTTGGAAGACTCCCTCATCCTTCTTTTTTTGTATCAAGATGGAGTAGTAGAAAGCCAAAAACTTTCTTTCCCAAAAATTAATCACTCCTAAAAAATATAACCCCTTCAATTCAAATAAAAAATATATAATATCGTTTGATTGTCTAAGATTGGTAATAGAAATATACCCTGTGAAGTTTCAAGATATATTTGCTTCTCCATTTCTAAAAATCAGCTCACTTTAATAACTCCCTCATTTAACATATTGTTAGAACTTTCAATAGTTATTGCGATGATATCAAAATATTGAGGTTTCTTTTCTTGAAGTTGAAAAAAATATGTAAAATGTATGTTTATTAAATTTCAGTTATCATTACATTATTTTTCAAGTGTGTAAAATGCGGATACTTTTCGAATTCATTTTATTCTATGCAGATAATTTCAACGTATCGAATCAAAAAATAAATCTCTCATTCCCAACCTATTCAGTGGGGTTTTGAGTCCCTGACAAACCGTCTATTTAGAGTATTATTTAGGAATGACTCCTGAGGTACTGGGCACCCCGTGGTAACATACGGTGTGTAAAAGCCAAATGGAATAAATTCATTATTTCGTTTACTATACATATTTAAAAAAAAAATCTCGAAACACGTCAAGTGTAAATTATGATTTGACATTCATCAACGTAAAAATGCCGCCCCTACCTTCAACCCCCTTCGAATGACAGGTACAACCCCCATTTTTTAAATGGGGAGTATAGTCTTGTGATATATCGTTTGAAAGGTCTCTTCAACAATTAAAATGAATTAAAATCAAGTGATTACCGAAATACGATCAAATATACTCAACAACCAAAATGTAATGCAAAACGTAATGAAATGGTAGCACAAGTGCTACTCAGTAGCTAACTGAGTTGAACTTTGCCTTTTGTTATGTCAGCAACTAGCTCTCTAATTTATTTAAATATTTGTATGTAACTATAGCTGGGTAACAATAAAGAGGATTATTATCATTATTATTATGTAGAATAAGAGAAAGAACTATGGATGTTAACGAAGTAGATGTTCAAAATGTTCACCGCGAACGTCTTGGCAACATCCTAATCTCAAATAAAACTGTCTTCTAACATTATTTAACATATCAGGCGTGACCGACCTAATCGTAAGCGTTATTTGTTCTTTAAAGTCATTTAAATCTGAAGGTTTAGTTTTGTACACATCTTTACATATCCCCATAAAAAAAAATCTAATGATGAAAAATCAGGCGAATACGCTGGCCATTCAATTGATTCTCGCCTCCCTATCCACCGATTGGGAAATGTTATATCGAGGTATTGCCAGACATTAACTTGGTAATGTAGTGGTGCTCCATCCTGCTGAAACCATTTCGTATTCACTGGAACTTGAGGGTTTCCTGGATCAGAATATAAATTTGCTAAACTTGGAATGACATCAATTTGAAGTAGTCCCAAATGATTATCGCCATTCAAGTTGCCCTCAATGAAAAGGGGACCAATGATATCGTTTTCTACAATCCCTGCCCAAACATTAACCTTTTAAGAGTATTGCGTGTGTTTTTCTCTCATCTAGTGAGGATTTTCCATTGACCAGTAGCGGCAATTTTGCCGATTGGCATGACCGTTAAGAGACAAAGTACCCTCATCAGAAAACATAACATGATCTAATTGGATCTTCCCCACATGACCAAGCTCGCAAAGCTGCTCTATTTTACTTATCGTTCCTTGGGATATGGACGGTAAATTAGGAAATTTCTCATGAAATAGGCGAGCTAGTTCCTGTTTTGTTCGGGTCATTTGTAAAACTGTTATTTCATGCATTTCCGTTAATCTAACCATTTGTCAGACTTGAAGTTAACGAACTTCAAACTTAAATTGAAATACTGACAACTAATGTTGTAACATACAATACAAGCTGACAAGGCGTTTTAAAAAACGTTGCCACAGTTTTTCAAAAGATATAATTTAAAAAGAACATTGCTATGGTTTTTGCTTACTTTCTTATTATCAATACCTCAACATGAAATAAGTTTTGAGTATATTTCCAAAAGTTTGATTATATTTTATTGAATTTCGGAAACCACATGATTTTAATTCATTTTATCTTAATTGTTGCGATAAACTTGAAAGCGATAACATTTTTGAATAAAGAATGAAGATACCATTCAAACGATATGTCATAAGCCTCTACTTCCCATTTGAAAAATGGGGGGTTTGACGGAGGTTGAAGGTAGGGGTAGCATTTTTCCGTTGAAGTCTGTCAAATTATAATTAAATTTGCTGTGACTCGGGATTATGTTAGAATATGTACCGTAACCGAAATAATGAATGTATTCCATTTGGCTTTTACACACTGTATAATGAAATGTGTAGAACTGAGAAGGTTACATTTGTATGAGAACAGCTCGGGTGGTTTAAGTATTGGTATTCCGATATCCAGGTGGAGTTGTGCATAAAAAACATGAGCGATATAATGGAACTGCTCTTCCGCAGAGATATAGGATCCACTTTTAAAGATCTAACTGTAATCATCCAGTCAGCGCTCCGAACGATTATCCAGAGCCATATAAAAATGGAGAAAGACAACCCCCACGCGGTAAGTGAGTGGTTACTTTGATCTTTGAAATTTAAACAAACCTCCAACATCCTTAACATCTACTTCTGTTTCAGAGTAATCTCGTTGCTGTAATGTTAGACATATTTCGACAGATGACAAGCGACCACTATTCCGACTACATAAAGAAGTTCCCCACCAACTTTGACATCTTGGACTTCTTGATGGAAATCCTCGTGGTTTTCAAGGAACTAGTCAGTAATTCCGTGTTTCCCAAAGACTGGTGCGACATGATCATGTTACAGAACAGCATCATTCTCAAATCGCTGAGGTTTTTTTCTCACACGATAAGAGATTGTTTTTTCCAAAAATTCGAACACGACTCTTGGAATAACTTTTTCCATTGCGCGATAGCTTTCATGACACAGGAGGCGTTGCAGTTGGAGAATTTTTCTTTCAACAAGCGGATGAGGATAGTCGACCAATATAAGGATATGAGGGTGGAAATGGGTTTTGAGATTAAAGCCATGTGGTTCAATTTAGGTAAGTTTATCAGTTTTTTTTTCAAGGGCAGATCCCAAGCACTACAGGAAAATCCTTAAGGCGCTCTAAGAGCGGTGTCTGTGCAAAAGTAGCCATTCGTGTTGGATTTGAATCGCTGGAGATTAAATTTATTTGGAAAAGCGTTCTCAGGAAGTTTATTCCACATAAACGCAGTTTTCCAAATGGAAGNACCCCAATTCGAAATCACGTCTAGATCCTCAGTAATATATGCAACCTCCTGCTGCCGGTGAAGATGTGCACCCACAGCCGATGTCCTAGAATCCAAATGGAATAAAGAGACAAGTGTTCTGTCGTCAGCAAAGCAATATGTTCGATTCTTGTTGTTGAGACAATATGGAGGGATCCATATAGGAGACAATATGGAACCCCGGGGAACCCCAGCGTTGATAGTAAAAGTATTCGAGAGATGTCCATCGACGGCCACTTGCAGGAAAGCCATACACAGAAATGATGCGACAAGCCATAGCATCGAAGTTTGGGTCATGCCACACACGGTCAAAGGCCTTAGAAATACCAAGGGCAACAGCTCTTAACTCTCTATATTTCTCGATTGCGTTATTCGACATATGGGTGACATACGATAGGAGGTCGCCTGTTGATCTTTGTTTTCGAAAGCAATATTGATGATTGCTCAAGATATTAAAACTTTCCAAATATTTGAGGATATGGAGGTTTTTGGATTTCTTCGTGATTTATGATATCACCGATAGCAATGCGACTTGGTCTCTAGTTACTTGTATAGAGTTTATATTTTTCTTGCTTTTCCAATTGGATTTAACTTGAACTATTCGAAAACCGGAACCCATACACACCGAACGCGTTTGTGATTCAACACTTGATTCAACCCGCCATAGGGCTCCTCAGTGGTGCTAGTCTGAACCACAAATGCATTGCTGGACTCAACTGTCCTTGAAAGACAAACCTAAGTGAGTAAGGTCGATGATATCTCTCCGTCGATGTCGAAGTTTGGCTTTGCAACTATCCGCCTTGCGGAGCCTCATTCGTATTTGATATTTGAGAATTTTGTTCTCTGTCGATCCAATACATGGCGTCTTCATACGGAAAAATTTCGTTACGTCACAGCATCGCCGCATCAAGAGAGGTAAGGGCACACCGATGAATACGCATTACTCAGCCACATGCCGTGGAGTGCACATCTCGCTCTCCTACCCTTGAACGGTTGCTGCTGTGACGTCACACCACTAACTTGGTGGGCTCACACCGATGGAACATTCATTACTTGGAGGATAATTGAAGTATGCAGACGTATGTTTGTGCATAGACACGCACATGATAAACTCTGAACCGTGCATTCACACACACCAACCAAATGTAATTACGTCATTATGTCACACACAAAATCTCATACGAAAAAAATTCTGAATAATCCATGCACCAGACACTTCAAAGTCACATCTCCTTGATTTTACTAAACAAAAAAAGCAATTAATACATCATAGTGGGGGGGGAGGCCCAGAAACGGCTGTAATCTACTACACGTGTTGGGTCTAAAATTTGATACAAAACTCACTTTCGCCAATCACATTAACGCAATAAAAGTTTTTCCCATGTACTTTCAGGGAAATGAAGTATTTGAGCTTAGTTATATTTTTCAGGTCAAAATAAGGTCCAATTCGTGCCTTCTCTCGTCGGGCTCATACTCGAGATGACTTTAATTCCAGAGCCAGTACTACGCAAAGCTACCATTCAAATATTCTTCGATATGATGCTTCAAAACTGAATATGGAAATAACTGTTCATATACCATCAGAAAGTCATGCCATGGTTTCCGAACAAAAATGGTACCTAAAACACCCACTGTAGTCAGTTGGTACTTCATTGTATGGCATATTCTAGTACTTATATTTCTGTTGTTTGAATGGAGACCTTGTCAAAGTTGATAACCAGTAGCAAGGCATTGTGCAGTGGTTGCATATAAGGTATGTTCAAAGAATAAGGTGAATTTTCATTTTTCTCATTGTCTCCTCAGAAGTAGTCCCCCTCAGATATAATACGCTTTTGCTAGGTTTTTTCCAGTAATGATATGCACTTTATGGTATATCCTTAAGCTCTGTCGGTGATTCCGTTTTCATCTCTTTGATCCTCGCAAAACACCTTCCTTTCATGGGTTTCTTCAATCTTATGAACCGAAAAAAGTCACAGGGGGGCAAATCTGGTGAATACGGTGGCTGAGGCATGATTACGGCAATAACGAGTTAGCATTATTGTGATGCAAAAGCCATGAATTGTTTTTCCACAAAACTGGACGTTTTCTTCGTATTGCTTCTCGTAAGTGACGCCTACCTTATTGACCGTACGACCAAGTGTCAAGAACTGCTGATGCTTGTTTGAAAGTGATTGACAATGTTTCATGATGAATTTCATTAGTTCAGACTTCCATCGTCTGATATTATATAAAATGATTTGAAATTCCTGGAAGAACTCAGAAGGAGAATTTAAAAGAATAGCTGAAAATAACAATTATATTGAGCAAAAAAACCTGAAATGAAATAACAGTGAAATAAAATACAAGTGAAAATAGAACAACTGAACAGAAAATGAAAATTAAGAGATTCTAAGCCAAGTTACTTCACGACGTCTCAATTGTAAGTATCTACAATCATCTTCGGGTGATGACTGGACTAATTCCTTCGACAGTGACTATTTATAAGTCATTCGAGTACTTTCACTTATCTCCTCTTTCCTTTTTCCGCTTCACCGGTTTAGTGGGAGATGACCGTTTGGCGGGAGTTGTCCATTTTTCGCTTGATTATGGGTTTCCATATGTTGCGCATCTCTACGCTAGCTTGACTGAATACATTGTTGGATAACATGTATACAGCTTCTTTGAATTTCCTCCTAAACCAGTGTTCCTCCCTGTGTATGATCTCAGCTTGGAACCACTCGATGTTATGTTGATGGGTCCAAATATGCTCTGCTATTCCTGATTTGCTGGTTTCCCCTCGCTGTGTGTGTTTCTTGTGCTCGGCAATGCGAACATTCAATGGCCTCTTAGTTTCACCGATATAGGATTTTCCAGAAAGGAAGTGCAAACACTGGTTGTGACGGCTTCTCTTCCTTGCGAGGCTCCTGCTGTCTTTTAGCCAAGGTCTGTTCCACCATTGCTTTTGGAGTAGCCATTCCGTTGAAGATCATTTCTGATGATGTCTAGTTCCTTCTCGAGAAGTCGATTGATGGTGGTTGGATTCGTGGTTCGGATACTATCCCGTGTGAGTGGGTTTTCGGTATACAGATGTTTTCCACTTGGTGTCGGTCCTCTTCACCAATACGTCTAAGAATGAAAATTCGTTGTGGAATTCCTTCTCCATTGTGAAAGTGATGGAAGGTCTTATGTTGTTGATGTGTTTCAGGAAGGCGTCCAGTTCATATTATTCCCATGGTTCCATATTATGAAGGGGTCGTCAACGTATCTCAACCAGACCCGTGGTTTCTTGTGGGCTTCTTCAATGGCCAGAGTTTCAAACCATTACATATATATGTTGGCTATGACTGGGGAAAGTGGCGATCCCATTGGCAGTCCCTCATCATCAGGGATTTCAAATAATCTTATATAATATCAGACAATGGAAGTCCGAACTAATGAAATTCAACTGCTGATGCATTACACCACGGTAATCGAAGAAAACAGTTATCAAAACCTTGAGATTTGATGGAACTTGGCGTGTTTTTTTTT